CTGCCCTCTTTTTATTGGGTTGTTTGTTTTTTTGTTGTTGAGTTCTGTGAGTTCTTTATATATTATGGATGTTAACCCCTTGTCGGATATATGACAAAATAGGACAAAATTTTAATATATGAAATGACACAAAAATTACATAAATTCTTAAGTTAAAGTAGTTTCTAGCTTTTTTTTAAAAATAAGTTTTTCTTTTGCTGAGGAAGATTCACCCTGAGCTAACATCTGTTGCCAATCTTCCTCTTTTTGCTTGAGGAAGATTTGCCCTGAGCTAACATTTGTGCCAATCTGCCTCTGTTTTGCATGTGGCCTACCGCCACAGCATGGCTGACGAGTGGTGTGGGTCTGCACCTGGGATCTGAACCCATGAACCTGGGCTGCCGAAGCGGAGTGTGCTGAACTTGATCACTAGGCCACAGTGCCAGCCTTCTAGCTTTTTTTTTTGATTGAAAAATTGTGGAGATGTTTTCCAAAACCTTTTCGGTGCCTTGATTTGCTGGTGCCTAACCATATGCTTTGTTTGCTTGTTTCATTACTTCCAGCTCAGCCCAAAGTAATGAAACTTTGTCAGCATATGAGTCACACTTGGAGCTGTCTTACTCCTAATTCCAGGCAAAGAGAGGAATAAGGTGGTGGAGACTCCCCTGTTGCATGGTGTAGTGGCAGCAGCACATTGGAGGGGAACCCCTGGGCCAGGGACATCAGCAGCATGGGGAAGCCCACAGCTATAAACGTGACTGTCCATCAGGGACTAGGGCTTCTGAGAGCATGTGCTATGCAGCTGTGTGTACAAGCAACAAGATAGTGCTGAGCAGGGGTGGGGTCAGGGAGAGTGCTGGCAGAGACAGTAGGAGAGATCCCAGGATAGGCAGGGCAAGGACACAATGGCTTCAGGCAGTGGACTCTGAGCGGTTATCTATGCTTGGAGCAGGAGATGCTTCTCTAAATAACTGGCCAGGCCCCTGGTAATTAGAGGGAGGCTTGGTCTGAGCTGGTCTTTGCTGGAGGAGATCCAACTTCAGCTGGGACTGGTGTCAGGCTGCTTACCCTGAGCTGTCCATGAGCTGGGGGCAGCTTTGGGCTAAACTCTCACAACTGAAAACGTTTTAGCATGGTGATGAAGAAAGGGAGTCTGTGGGGCAGTGACTCTAAGTAATTGGTGTGGAATTTGCTTAAATGTAATGAAAGCTCTCATATTGTGGTTTGGAATGAGAAGGGAGCCCCAAGACTGCCTGGGATTGTTACACCTGCATTTTATTCTTTTTCCCAATGAAGGCTTTAGCTCTGGACTCTTGTTTCTATTCCAAAACTATTGTGTATTGCTAATGGCCATCCTTCCAGTGCCTCTGCCCTGGACTTTTTCCAAGTTGTTTTGACTACATTAGGTCCTTCTGAAAAGCTCCAGAATGCACGGCTGGGTACAGAGGTGGAAAGGGCAAGAACTTAGAAAGCTGCAATCAAAAGATCAAGGTGGTGGTATCATTTTTTCACTCTGTGACTTTTGAGAAACTGAAAATACAAACCAATAATGGCCAGGCTATGTATAAAAATAGAATTCTTACCCACAACCTCTGCAAAACCAGCCCAGGAAGCAAAACCACAGCCCCTGCAATAAAACTGCCCAGAATGGGCAGGACTCGTTGACTGCCAGCTTCCCTAGTTTTTGCCCTCACTTCCAACCTGGGACCAATCAGAGAGAGCCGAATATGCTTCTCAAACCAATCACAAAGGATGCCTCATTTCTGCTTAGCCTGCCTCCAGCTTCTCCATGGCAACAGCCTCCAATCAAAGCACACCTGGAGTCTTCCCCTTTCTTTCCACTCCTCTGCCTGGTTATGAGTCTCAACCAAACATAAGTGACAGTGGCTGACCCCCATGCTATACAAAGCTTTAAATAAAAAGGCTTTGCTTGTTCTTGTTGGGTGGTTTTTGTTTATTCTACACTTTGGACAAGTCACTTAGCTCCATTTTTCTTATTTTCAGACAGTATGTAGATAATCTCACATTTGTGAGCATTGATTGATACTGAGTGTTAAGATGCTTTTTTTTCCTAAAAAAAAAAGAACCACTTTATTGAGGTATGATTGACATACTAAAAACTGTGCATATTTAATATATACAACGTGATGAGTTTGTAGATAAGCATACAAAATGTATGAAATTATCACCACTATCAGTGCTATAGCCATCACCTCCAAAAGTTTCCTCCTGACCTCTTTATTTTTATTTTTTGTGATAAAAACACTTAATGTAAGATCTATGCTCTTAGCAAATTTTTAAGTATATAATACACTATAGTTAACTATAGGCAAGAAAGGAAGCAACGCTTTGAGGTTTAGTTTGGGTGTACTTCTTAGAGGACACATCTGAAAGAATGGTCCATATCCACATTCCTTGTATCTCTAATGGTATGAAAAATGTGTAGGAAGCTTATGAAATACTCACATAGCCTTCCTCTCCTTTTTAAGAAAGCCCTATACCACACCTACAATTAGAGGAAAAAAACTTGAGAAAGCCAATATAAAATTTGCCTTCAATTTAATATGACTTTCCCATAATGAATGGTCTTATGCATATATATCTGAATTTACTCTTTAAAAAAAAGATGCTTTGTAAACTGTAGTATGAGGGACAAGCATATCTTATGTCAACAGTGGGACTTGCCCTCTGGCAGAGGAGAAGCAGCTATGGGAGGGCACGTGGACAAAGGTCACTTCTCCCCATGGTAGTCTTCTGAGACTTGGTAAGGGGTGCCCTGTCCTCAGTCCTTCTCTGGCTGTGCCTGTTCTCAGGGGGTGAACGGATCCAAGGGGATATGTCCAGCCCAAGCCTATGTTCCTCCTCTGGGCTTTCCTTTCAGTGTGGGGATACCAGAATTCTCTGCCCAAATACCCTGTACCTGGTTATAAGGCCCTTCCCAAGGCCCATCCCCCAAAGGCAGACCACACAGCTTATTGTTCACCCCTAGACCAAAGGGCTGGCCAGGGGGTGCCTGAGTGCAGGGGTATGGACGGAGCCTGGACGTGAAATATGTGCATACTGTGGAGTGGGACAGAACTGGGAGGGGGTAGTGTGGGGGGCAAGCTGTGGCTATGGGCAGGGGTCTGGGGACCAGGGAGAGCCTTCCTTTAGTATCGTGTTCTGGTGTGGAACTCCTGGAATTCTGAGATTTATAAGTTTGAACCTGGACTTCTAGTTTGTTGTAAAGGTATATTTGTTAAGGTAGGAAGAAATAAATATTTCACATTTTGTTAGCTTGATTGGTTTTTCTTTTTGAGGAGGATTGCCTCTGAGCTAACATCTGTTGCCAATGGTTCTCTTTTTTTCTCCCAAAGCGCCAGTACACAGTTGTACATCTTGCTTGTAGCTCATTCTAGTTCTTCTATGTGGGATGCCACCACGTCATGGTCTGATGAGCCATATGTATCCTGCGCCCAGGATCCGAACCGACAAACCTAGTTTGCCAAAGTGGAGCGTGTGAACTTAACCACTCGGTCATGGCGCCAGCTCCTAGCTTGATTTTTAACCTGTAAATATTTAGAGAATCCTTCCCCAAGCCTCACAAATATTAAGGGTGGACCAGCCTGTCTCCCTATTCCATACTTCAGTGGTTAGCTCTGATCCAGGGCTGCCTGGATGTGTTGACTGGTATGCACCTGGGGGTGGGTCTAGGAAAGGAATTTTTATTTGTTTCCCTTTTCCCCACACCCTACTTCTGTGCGTCTTATCTCTCTGGGTAACCATTTTAACCTGCTTAATGCGTATTTTATGTTCCTTTTTTTTCTTTCTAAATGTGCTTTTTTCTGATTTGTTTCATGTAATTTTAATATATATAAGTGATATTGTATTTTATATCTCATTATCCTTCTTACTTTTCTCACTCAGCCCTAGAGCTCTAGGCTATATTGCTTATAGCTAATCCTTTGCTTCTAACTGCTGCAAAGTTTCCACTGCAATTTATCTATTTACTTACCCAGTGGTGGTCCTAAGGAGATACCTCGTTTAATTTGCACTTCTCTGATAAGTAATTGGTTTGAGCATCACTTCCGAAGCTTGTCAGGAACGTCAGGTTTTCTCTCCTGTACAATGTTTGTTCTGCATACCTTGCTTGTTTTTTTCTGTTGACGTTGATGTCTTTTGTTGATTTGCAGGAGTTTCTAATATATGCTAGTTAGCTATCTTCCGTTCTATTTCTGTTAACTCTATCCCTGGTTTCTTTTAATGAACAAAAATCCTAATTTTTGATATAATCAAATTCACCAGTTTATTTGGCTTTATGGTTTCTCACCTTGAGATAACAAATATATTTTCCTACATCTTTTTCTAACTAGAGGGGATCTATAATGGTAGTGATGTCATCTCTTGCTGGAGGAAGGTCTGGAAAAAGTGGGTAGAGTAGGCACTTGGGAATGGTTCTTTCAGTATCTGTTCCACCCTCCTTCTAGTCAGGGTGAAAACTAAAAATTACGTATCCCAGATTCCCTTGTAGCTAGAGCTCTGGGATGTGAATTAATTCCCACTAATTAAACTCATTTATATGAGATTTGAAAAGTGGGAGTGAGCTGGTTCTCACGGTTCAGTGTATACAAATCACCTGAGGGCTCATTAAAACACAGATTACTGGGCCTCATCTAGGTCTGGAGCGGGGCCCCAAAATTTGCATTTTTAACAAGTTTCCAGGTGATGCTCATGCTAGGGTTGTTACTTGCCAGTTTCATCAGTGTGAGAGGCAGTTTTCTTGGTGGCAGCAGGAGCTTCTTGACCTCCAGGTCTTATCTTTTGTGGGGTCACTTTGGCAGCTCCCTCACTCCTCCAGTCATTCGAAAAACTACACACACGTAATTCCCTGTATTAAATCCCCCTATGCTTGAGAAAATTAGGGTTATTTCTGTTTCCCATAGTAAACCACTGCTCGATACAATAGTATACCAAAAATAGCTATAATTGACAAGAGGATGTCCATAAATCCTTTCCCCAATATCAGGCTGCTGAGTCTGAAACATGTGTCCTTGATATTGTTATAAGCAAGGGGAGCAGAGAGAAACTTGTCCCGTGGCCACTGGATTTACCGAGTGAGGTTGGCAGTAGATCTATAGTTATTTAAACACGACATGGGATTTTGCAGCAATTTGTAATCTAGGGGGACCAATCATCCTGGTTTCTCTGGGACTGAGGAGATTCCCAGGATGTGGGGCTTTCAGTGCTAAAACTGAGAAAGTGCCAGGCAAACTCGGTAAAGTTGGTCACTCTAGTGTAATCTTTCCCTAGTCGTCTTGGAGAAGTTGTCTGTAAAGGGGAAGAGGCTAGAGCAGATGGTAATAGGTGTGGATCTGAGAAATGATTTTCAGGAGGTATTTGAAATTGGAAGAGCCTAACTAGGGCAGGCTTAATAGGCTGTTCAAAGGGACTGTCAGCCTAAAACCAAGGGGATAATGTATGAGAACCAAGAGTGTGGGGTCTGGAGTCACTTAGATTTGAGTTCGAATCCAAAGTGTCTTTGTTTACCAGCTATGTGACCTTGAGCAAGTTACTAAGCCAAGTTTCCATATCTGTAAAATTGGGCTAAAAACAGTATCCCCTTGTTGTGAGGTGTAATTGAAATACTGCATATGGAGAGTTGCATGGCTCAGAGTAAGCAGTCAAAAACATGTTAGTGGCTATTATTATTATTATTGTTACTAAGGAAATTACATAAAGGCATTGAGTATAGGTTGCTAGGCAGGAATAAGTAGAGAAGAGTGAAACAGGAGAGGAATAAGTCTGGATGAGAGGGGCTGTGTATCACTTCTTGGTGACTTTTAAATTCACCTCTCTTTGCTTTGCATACTCCCAAGGGAAAAAGAGTAAGAATATATTTTCTATATAGAAGTAATAAAACAATGAATGAATTTTACATGAATGCTGAAAGTTTAAAATTTCTATTAAAATTATGATTAAGATAGTAAATAGTTGCCAAAGAACTCACTAGGGAGAAAATGGATCCCAAATGAAAGAAAACATGAACTTGAAATCATTTGGTTTCAAAGAGAAATGAGAATAGAGAGAGAAAGAAGGAAGAGGGAAGAAGGGCAGGAGGCATTCACTCAACCATGTAGAGAAGTGATTGTTTGCCATCATGCTTAGGCAAGTATTCAGAGGGCATCCCTCTGGTCTTTGTAACAACTTACTTTTAAAACTGAGAAAGAATGATAATATTTTCGTCAAAACATTTTTCTCCTCAGTGTTTTCTGCACAGCAGCCTTTACTTCCTTATTCCTCAAGCTGTAGATTAAAGGGTTCAGCATGGGGATAATTGTGGTGTAGAACACGGAGGCCACGTTCTCTTGGGCCAGGGAACTGGCTGTGGAGGGTTTTAAGTACATGAATGCAGTAGATCCATAGAACATCCCCACTGCTGCAAGGTGAGAGCTGCAGGTGCTGAAGGCTTTGGACCTTCCCTCTGTGGTGCTGATGCGGAGGATGCTGGAGAGGATGAAGACATAGGAAATAAGGACTGTTAAGCTGGTGATTATGATGTTGAATCCAGCCAAAAAGAAGACTACCATCTCAATGTCATAGGTGCTAGAGCAGGAGAGCTTCATGAGGGGGAGGATGTCACAGAAGTAATGACTGATGAAGAGCTCACAATAGGATAGTTTTAACATGAGGCCAGTCTCTATTGTTGAGCCAATAAGCCCCATAGCATAGACCACAGCCACCAGCAGGGTGCAGACTTGATGAGACACGATGATGTTGTAAAGCAAAGGGCTGCAGATGGCGACATAGCGGTCATAGGCCATCACCGTCAGCATGTAACACTCGGCAATGACAAACACAAGGAAGAAGTAGAGCTGTGACATGCACCCGGCATAGGAGATGATGTTCTTCTCTGACACAAAGTTCACCAGCATTTTAGGGGTAATGACAGAGGAGTAGCAGAGATCCACAAGTGACAGATTGCTGAGGAAGTAGTACATGGGGGTGTGAAGCTGAGCATTCAGACAAATCAGTGTGAACATGCCCAGGTTCCCTAGCATGGTCACTGAGTAGATCCCAAGGAAGAGGAGGAAGAAGGGGAGCTGGAGCTCTGGCCGATTTGTTAATCCCCCAAGAATGAACTCTGTCACTGTAGAGTGATTTTCTGCAGCCATTGTCCTCTGGTTGGGACCCTACGGGATGCGAGAGAAGAACCCCATGAAAGGCTGCATCATGGACTTTGTGGTGAAGGTAATTTTGAGAACTTGGGGCCAGCTGAGAGATCCTTGGCTCTTTCCTGATGCACTTTCCCCTCATCCTGCTGTTTGCTGGGAGGAAGACCAGACCCTGGGTGTTTCAAAGATATGGAGATGAGAGGAAAAAGGGGGAAAGATCTGGAATTTTAACTGCTTTCAGGTTTCTCAAATATCCTAGAGCAGTGGTTCTTAAAGTGTAGTCCTTGGAGCATCAGCATCTCTCAGGCCTCACCCCAGACCTACCAAATCAGGAACTCTGGGGATGGGGCCCAGCATTTGCATTTAACACTCTCTCCAGGTGATGCTGATGCAGGCAAAGTTTGAGAACCTCTGCCCTATAAGGAACAAGTAGTATATTTCATATTTTGTAGTTGGAGATGTAATTTTGCTTCAGAAATGAAATTTCCCTGTCATCTATGCAATTCCTGAATATTCCCTGAATGTGAACATGTGAATACCTATCTCAAATCGGTGCAGTGTGAGGGCGATATGGTAGTTACGACAGTATTGCTGAGTACGAGTCAATTTCTGTATCTGAAAGACGAAGAAATTAGTGATATCAATTACAAAGGTGATTGTAAAAATAACATGGGCTAGTGCATATTTAGAAAAATTTTTTGAAGCACTCAGATCCTATAAAAATGTGAGTTGTCATCAGGTGTCCAGAAGTTGTTCTTAGTTTTTCACTGGACTTGAGACCCTAAGACAGTGCTTCTCAACATTGGCTGTATATTATAGTCACCTGGAGAATTTAAAAGTATTGATGCCTGGTTCTTCCTGCTGAGGCTCTGATGTAATTGATCTGTGGTGCAGCCTGGGCCCTACCACATAGTGTAGTCTAGAGTAAGTACTTGGTAGCCATTTTTAGTATTATAATTGTTGTTATTATCTTCAGATGATAATATCAAACCATGGCTCCATTATTGCCCTAGTGGCAAAGAACTGAAATTATAGATATTTCCCTAAGAAGCATGGATCAATATTGCTGGATATGATACCTATAGACATTACCATCTATAATATATATTTCTTAAGCTAAAAGCCTTGTCTTGCTATTTTAATTGCTTCCTTATATAATTACTATATTTTGTATAATGCTTTTCAAAGGTCAACCATATAAACTAAAATTTTTGGGTCTGAGAAGTTATTTATAATAGATTTTTATTCCCATTGTCATATTAAGAAAACTGAATTGTCAGACACCAAGTGGCTTCTCTGGAGTCTGCTAATTATTGGGCACTTGGAACTCAAACTGCTCTCTCTTGACCATGAACTTCTTCTCTTGGCCCGAGTGTGTATCCTTATAAATCTTTACACCTACAGTTCTAAGCTATGTTGTGGTTGAATCTGTTTTAGACTTTATGTTTTAGTTTGTGCAAAGCATGTGAAAAAAAGAGGAATGCTATATTATCTTTTCCATTCTTTAGAAAATGGAAGCTCTAAAAGTTAAATAAGTTACCCAAAGTCATACAGCTAGCAAGAGGCAGAACTGGGCCTAAAACCCAGGACTTCTGACCTCCAGTCTATTTTCTTTCCACTAAACTATATTGTTTTGTTGTAGCTTATCTTTGTGTAGCACTTTATTATTATTTAGTAAACTTAACTTATTGATTTTTTTTTGAGATAGAAGATGGATTTTATTGCTATTTCAGGCATTTAAAAATTATGAAGGTAATATATATGCATTGTAGAAAATTAGAAATTCAATTAAAAAATTACCATTTTCCTGCTACTTGTAGGCTAAAAATGGTAATGACTATCCTAGATTTTTTTCTATGCATGCATGTATTTACATTCGTATATGTATATATGTACTTTTTAAAAAACATTTTGTAACCTGCTTTTTTAATGTAGTACTTTAAAATACATTGTCTCAGTGATTCCTGTAATAATATCTCCAAGACCAATTATATTTCTTTTTCTTAGGTGTAAGAGACTTTAAATCCTTAGGATGTGGTATGAAGACAAGAAAGTCTGCATTGCATTTTAAATCTTATATGTTAAATTATTGGTGGTGAGATATTCAACTTTGTAATAACTACTGGCAGAGGTGGCTAAGATTTTTTGAATATTATTTCCATTTGTTACAGGGGGGACAAATTTCTTCTGGAAAACAACAATAGGTTAAAAAAATCTTACATATCCCTTTGTTCCCAAGTTATACCTCTTAAAACAATAAGAAACATAGGAAATCTAGCTTGAGTTGCTATTACCAGAAATCAAAATGCTTCCCAAAGTAGTGCAGAGTGAACACCACTCACTTAGCACAGTGCAGATGGGAAAATTTTATCAGCATTGATTGAACTTTTACTCCCATAATCATCTAATAATATAAAATAGGCAAACATGACCCACATATTTGACATCAGTTACTACAATTGTTACCTGTAGTTTTACCAGACCATCAGAGGCTCAGGACTGGTCCTGATGAGAAGAGAGCACACAAAGAAAAAACTCTTAGAGATGAAGGTAAACATATGGTTGGAAGAAATATTTTTCTCATGCAATTGTTTAAATCTGTAATTAAATACCTGTGCTGAGGGAAAAATGGAACACGGTCTCCTGGAAATTGTAGGGAATACCTTGGTTTCAACAGTCAGGAAATAAATATCAGGAAATGTGAGAATCATACAAATTTATATCTAGTCCTAAGTTTGCTCAAAGGAGCCTACAGAGTCATGAAAAATGGGTCACTGAGATTGGGAGACTGGGGGGGATCTGTTTATATATACATGGGCCGAACCTCTCCTGGGATGCAGTCACTTCAGAGACTGGAGTGCTTACTAAAGGAGCAATTAGGGTCATGGTTTACACGTGTGCTGTGAATCATGTTTTGACTCCCAGATGTGTTAATTTTCCTTTTATTGGGAGAGTCACCTTGCAACTTGAGAAACTCAGAGCCTGATGCCAGCACTCAAATATTTTATGACCAACAACCCCACCATATTAGCATTGTCATCACCACCACAACCACAACAACCTCAGTCGTTACCATCAGCATCATCATCAGTTACTACCATTATGCTCGTATGCTCATCATTAGTTATTGACCATTAGGCAAAAGCAACTAGACTTAAAATGTTTATTTTATTTTTTTTGCACATTTTAACAACACTGAAATGAGAATATGTTTTTCAATCAAAGATGCATCAGTTTAACTGGTGGCATTTTTATTTTCCATTTTTGTGAAATAGTATCAGCTTTTGTTTTTCTTTTGAAATGTTATCTTCAAATATAGTTCTTTTGATGTAATTACAGATGCCTGTTTCATGAGGAAAACTACGGTATTTCACTCTTTAATGGTTTCTGTATTTTTATTTTTTCTTGTCTTTTTGAAATTTAACTCCAAGAACTTTATTGTAAAAGTTTGGTGAATTTCTTTCTGATTTTTTAAAAAATAGATTGTGAATCATACTCATGCATATAGTTTATAGCCTTCACTTTTTCACTTAAACATTTTATTATGAGCTTTCTCTGTTTATTAAACTTTTTAAAGACTTTGCATCCTATTGACTATGGGCTGAATGGCTTCCTTTTAAAAAAATGTTTTTGTTGTGGTAACACTGGTTTATAACATTATGTAAACTTTGGGTGTACATCATTATATTTCAGTTTCTGTGTAGATTATATCATGTTCACCACCCAAAGACTAATTACCATCCATCACCATACACATATACCTAATCACCCTTTTCTCCCTCCTCTCTCCTCTTCCCCTCTGGTAACCACCAATCTAATCTTTGTATCTATGTGTTTGTTGTTGTTTTTATCTTCTATTTATGAATGAGATCATATGGTATTTGACTTTCTCCCTCTGACATTTCACTTAGCATAATCCCTCAAGGTCTATCATCCATGTTGTAACAAATGGCCAGATTTCATCATTTTTTATGGCTGAGTAGTATTCCATTGTGTATATATACCACATCTTCATTATCCATTCATCCTTTGATGGGCACCTAGGTTGCTTCCAAGTCTTGGCTATTGTGAATAATGCTGCAATGAACATAGGAGTGCATGTAGTTTTACACATTCATGTTTTCATGTTCTTTGTATAAATACCCAGCAGTGGAATAGCTGGATTATGTGGTAGTTCTATTCTTAATTTTTTGAGGAATCTCCATACTATTTTCCATAGCAGCTGCACCAGTTTGCACTCCCACCAGCACTGTGTGAGAGTTCCCTTGTCTCCACATCCTCTCCAACACTTATTGTTTCCCATCTTGTTAATTATAGCCATTCTGATGGGTGTGAAGTGATATCTCATTGTAGTTTTGATTTGCGTTTCCCTGATAGTGATGTTGAACATCTTTTAATGTGCCTGTTGGCCATCTGTATATCTTCCTTGGAGAAATATCTGTTCAGAATTTTTGCCCATTTTTTACTTGGGTTGTTAGTTTTTTTGTCGTTGAGATGTATGAGTTCTTTATATATTTTGAATATTAACACCTTATCAGATATATGGTTTGCAAATATCTTCTCCCAAATGTTAGGTTGTCTTTTTGTTTTGTTGATGGTTTCCTTTACTGTGCAGAAGCTTTTTAGTTTGATGTAGTCCCATTTGTTTATTTTTTCTTTTGTTTCCCTTGTGTGGTCAGACATGGTACTTGAAAATATGCTACTAAGACTGATGTTGAAGAGCGTGTTACTTATGTTTTCTTCTATAAGTTTCATGGTTTCAGGTCTTACATTCAAGTCTTTAATCCATTTTGAGTTAATTTTTGTCTATGGTGTCAGATAATGGTCTACTTTCATTCTTTTGCGTGTGGCTGTCCAGTTTTCCCAACACCATTTATTGAAGAGACTTTCCTTTTTCCATAAAATGTTTATCTTAAAGGATTTTTAAAATAAATTCAAATATTTTACTTAAACAATCTGTGTAATTTTAATAAAGGAATTTAATTTATAAGGAATGTTAAATTTGTTACCCTGCTGCTGCACCTGTAGACTGAGAGTGTAGAATGGTAGGAGGTTGAGGGATATAAGAAGGTAGACTGATAAGAAGTCTTTACTCATATATTCTCACTCATGAGGGAAATATGTTCATAAGAAAATATGCTTTTCAAGAATACATTCAGTAATATGTTATCCATGAAAATATTGTTAATGAAGATTTTTAAATTAAAGTTTTTATTTTGAGATAATTGCAGATTCACTTGCAGTTGTAAGAAATAGTGTGGAGAGATCCTGTGTACTCTTTATGCGCTTTTCCCCACTGGTAACAATTTTGCCATAATATAGTACAATATCACACCCAGGATATTGCATAGTGCCATATACAATATACTGATCTTATTCAGGTTTCTTGGGTTTTACTCATACTCATTTGTGTGTGTGTGCACATTTAGTTCAATGCAGTTTTATCACATGCATAGGTTTGAGTATCTACCACCACGGTTCAGATAAAAACACTTACATCACCTTCATTTTCTAATTTTCAAAATAATGATTTGGTTTCTTGTTATCTTTCAAAGGTGATCAGTTATTTTTCTTTAGTATCTTTATACTCTCACCAATTTAAATATATGTTTTGTGTTTCAGTCCATTGTAATTATTATCCTCTTATTGCTCAAAATTTCCTATCTGTGGTCTGTGGAATTCTCTTCAGTTTATCTCTCAAGTCATTTTGACACAGTGCTATTAGTCTCTAATACCTTCCTTGCTATCTGATATGACAAGATGGTCTGAGCTCATCTCATGCATTTCATTCTTCAAACCAGCAATCAACCATTTCTCCAAGAAACTTGGTTTCTTTTAGTGTTGAATGATGTTTCAAGGTCAAAAATTAGGTCCTACAGAGGCTCATTGTTTTGGGGTTAATTATTGTTTCTAAATCTTTTCAAAAAGAACTAGGAAATTTGACCTACATGGTTTTTAAAGGATCTCTTTTTAATTAAAAGAGACCAATAATTTTACTAGGATGTTTTGATATTGATTCTTGGGCAATTTTTTTTTGATGTGATGTTTCTTTTCAATATGCCACTTCAAATCTTTTTTTTTAACACTAGGAAAATTTCCTTGAATTGTAGTTTTCATTTTTTATTCTGTCTCTTGATTTGGTTTCCTCTTTTGGGCTCCTATTCTATTCAGAGTAGATCTTCGTGGCCTTGTAGCTACATCTATTACTCTCCCATTAATTCTCTTCATTTATTTTTTCTTTTTACTTTTATCACTCTTTTTTGCCTTCTATTTCTGCTAAGGTATTATCTGTTGTGTTTACTTGCTCTTCTGTTACTTCTAATTCAATCTCAATTTCCTAAATTATTTTTTCTTTTATTTGTAATAATTTCCAGAGTTCTATTGCCTAATTTATGTTTTTCTAATTCAGAGTGTTTTTGTTCTTTCATACTTTGTATTATTTTGAAAATGTGTTTTATCTCACTTTGAAATAATTTAATAATATTTATTTATTTGTGGAAATGTGCTATGGACTGAATTTTGTCCCCCCCCCCATAAGATATACACCATAAGCAATTGAAAAACTGGAAAAAACATATAAAATAACTTTTTTAAGACATTGGGCAATAGGTTGATGAATTATGATCTAAGACAGAAGAGGAAGAAATGAGGTGAGCCCTGTATTCATCATGAATTTTTGTCTGGAGACACTTTCTAGATTGTGGA